ATTATAACTCAGCTAACCTACCTCCCAGTATCAAAACCCACAAGAGGAACATTCTTTCTGAACAAAAGAATCTTTTCTGAAGAGGACTCCAGGGCATACTGTGAGGATTAAATGGTAAGCTAGTGCTCAAGAATTCTGCTAAATTTTAGAAGCTGCCTTCTCAGCTTAAATTTAGATCGATGATGAATAATGGAAATCATCCATCTTCAATTTACTGGGCACATGAGACTTTCTCCTAAGTGAATGGTTTATGGTCTTCACTATAACATCATTACTGAGCATTCATTTTATAGTCTGGTCTACCTATGCTTCTGAGACACAATAAAGGAAGATAACCACAAAACCTTCATCTGGGGCTCCAGGTTATAAACCTTTGCATTTGCCCACATCTTGAGAAACTACAAATAGCTTTAACATCCAATACTTCTTCTGTTCCTCCCAGCTACATAGTGAAGCAGGCATTCCGATCATCATTTTGGCAGATGAGCTAAGTGAACTCAAAGAATGAAGGGCCTTCAACAGAGAGCATAGGACAAAAAGCTGGACCTGTCTGACACTACTTGTTTATCAAAGTGCCCGGGTTCAAAGGAGGCACTCAATAAATACATGAGGGGAGGGGAGCCTGGAAGCTTAGTTTGGATTTACCAAAACTCTGCATTTGTACTGCAGCCACCGACTGCTGTGCGTTTTTTCTCTGAAACCACTGTCTCATGGGATAAAGAGAAACTTCAATGCTACAGCTAGCTCCAAATCAAAACAATGCCATGGAGCAAACGAGACCCTATCACTTACCAGGAGAGGAAAAAGGAAAAACCAAACCCACTGCCGTTGAGTTGATTCTGACTCATAGAGAGCCTATAGGACAGAGTAAGACTGTCCCATAGTGTTTCCAAGGAGTGGTTGGTGGATTCAAACTGTTGACCTTCAGGCTACCAGCCGAACACTTGACCACTACACCACCAGGGCTCCAACCGGAAGTATAGAAGAGTAGTACCACCTTTATCCATCTGCCTTGGTGCAAATGGGTACCTGGGAAATGTGCAGAGGCAGGGCTTTCTACAAACTTAGTTTTAGGATTATCTGATGAGAATCTGGGCCTCAGGATTCCTCAGACGAAGAAAGGAAATAGGGATGGACTCCAATAATGATAAACTCAGAATCAGGGTTCAGCTCCAACTGACATCAAGTGAATCCCAGTCCTTTCTTCTCTGAGACTTGGTATTCTCATCACAAAATGGAGATAATTCTTCACAGGAGTTCCAATCATGACTAAATAAATTAACAAAATTAAATTAATTAATTTAAATATAATTCTACCCTAACAGAAATTAGAAAGACAGTAGATGCGCCTCCCTTATTTGTATAGGAAGCATCTCTGGCACTCTCATGTTACCCTTTACACTAGAACCAATGAACAAAAAACAAGAGGCAATGCATATTGCTTGACTGAAAGGAAAACAAAACCAAGTTCAGAAAAACTAACATGCAAAGATTTCATAACTTTGCCGTCAAAGTAATTAGTTGGCAAAGATAGCGTTTCAATAGGAGATGAACTCCCATTGGTGTACTCTGACATCAGAATCTTCTGGCCTTCAAGTAAGAGTGAACTTTTGTTTTTGTTTTTGTTTTTTTTTCACCAATAATTTAACATCAAAAAGCTATGTGAAACAACTACTTGCATATTTCCACTTACATAACATTTATATAGCATATCAGCTTCTATTTTTTCCAGATACAGAAGCAGACTCCCGGGGAGCAGCTGGTGGGTTCAAACGTTTCGGTTAGCAGCTGAGCGCTTAGCCACTGCACCACCAGGACTCCTTAAGGAGATGAAGCTTGGAATATATTCCTGTGGGAGAATAAACCAGGGCTTTGAAACAGTTCTTCCCGGTTCAAACCCCTGCTGAGAATTTGCCTTTCTACCCCAGATACACTGAATCAGAGTCTACGTTTCAACAAGATCCCCAGGTGATTCTTATGTATAATAAATTTGGAGCCCTGGTGGCGCAGTGGTTAAGAGCTTGGCTGCTAACCAAAACGTCGGCAGTGTGAATCCACCAGCCGCTCCTTGGAAACCCTATGGGGCAGTTCTACTGTGTCCTATAGGGTCACTATGAGTTGGAAGCAACTTGAAGGCACCGAACAACACCAACTGCTCTACTAAGTGGTTCTCAGAATTGATCCCTAACCAGCAGCATTAGCATTGACTGGGAACTTGTTAGAAATGCAAATTATCAGCAGAGGTTCAAACCAGTGCCCATATAATTAGTGCCCTATAATCCAGACCATATGATCAATAAACTACATAAAAATTAAATCATACTGACAGTCTCAGGCAAAAAGTGAACCAAGTAGAAACAATTTTTTTTTAAGACAGTGGTGTGTGGAATATTAAAATCACATGCTGTGTTATTAATTTTTCTTTTGGAAGCCAAATAGAGTTCTCCTGCTTAAATTTCTCCATTCAATACTTACCTTTTCAAACCGCTTTTTCTACTGAACGTGTTAGAAAGGCATTTAATTAGTGATATTGTACTTTAGGCTATACTTAGGGGAGACACTGATCAATAAGTCACTTTGAAAATGACTTTGTTGACATGGTTTTAATGACAGGGCATATATACTCCTTAAAACGAGCAGCTATGTACCTCTTATAATAACATACTTGTCCTGATATGAACTTTTTTAGGTAAACAAAATCATGTGTTCAAATATTATAAAACAGTGAACAAACATGGTGAACAGCTAGGTTTATTTACATAAGCTTAATGGGGACATGAGGATAGTTGGGATAGATGAAGAACCAAAACAGCACAAATACATCTTACTTTTGATCTCCTTTAACACACATCTGAGTATCTTCGGGTTTCTATGTCCCTGGCTAATGTACAGCTGATAGGTGTGTCTTTTTGCAAATCACTTCACATTTCTTTTTCCTTTGATAAAAATACACCATTTCTTGGGAGTGCCTTCTGAAATCAAAAGAGGGATTGCCTTCTAAAACCAAAAGAGTGGAAGGAAGGAGGAGGACAATGAAACTGTACAAAGGCTGTCAGGCATGTAGCCTGCTTTCCTAAACACAAAGTAGGAGTTAGGATTCACAGCACAGGCGCACAGGTGGTTTCCTGGGCTCCAAAAAGAACTTACCCCACCACCAACAAAACGTGAGTAAACACTGGGAAGCCCCAGGCGAGTTTACAGCCAACAGCCTCGATGTATTTAGTGTTTCCTTGTCCTCCCCCAGGACTGAGAGGGGCTTTAAAAAAAACACGATTGGTTACAAGACTTGAAGTACTAATCTGTCCCAAGCTGCAAAATAATACACGAGGCTCCTACAGGAAGGTAGGCCCCCCAGTGACAATTCCTTTACACAGCATCTTAATGTTTAATTTATATTAAGGGAGGTGGGAATGGGATATGCCACCTGAACTGTAGTGACTTTTCTTCCCTTCCACACAACACAAGTTTACCTTCAGTTGTCTCTCCTTATGTTAAAGGGGCCACTCATTTTTAAATTCTAAGAATCCCATCCTTCTTTCAAAACTTACTATGGGCAGTCAAGCTGAAGGTAGGAGGATGCAAGTCTGGGAAAACTGCCTTAGTAAGGACCTCTCTACAGAAAGCCTCGTGAACACAAGGGAAGTCTTAACTCCAGCACAAGAAGCCTCAGTTGTCACAATCTGCACGGACAAATCCATTTCAAAGGGTACTTAAGTCTCCGTGCAGGAGTTCTATTTTAAGGGAACTGAATGGGGGAACACAGATGTTTCTTCAGTTAGCAGAGTTGGCAGAACAGCTCCTGGACCAAATCCGAGTTCTTAAAGCAGGAAGGCGCTTGCTCCAGCGAGCATCTAGTTCAACCCACTCATTCAACAGACGAGGAAACTGAGGCCTATGAGACAGGTGGCACACCCAGCAAGTGGCAGAGTGGCAGTCTTCTGATGACAAGTTCTGCACGCTTAAAAAAAAAAAAAAACTATCTGACTTCAACCTTGGAACTACTGCAGATTCATGTCAATAGCTTCCCCCCACAACAAGTTCATAAATCCTCCTCACTCTCCCACTCCCATTCCTTTGACTCCCACCCTCCCGCTAGCTCAGGCTTCCAAATAGTTTGGAAAACAAAAGTGGATTCACTAGTGCCTCAACTTTCTGGGACTGCTATTAATTTTGGTTCCAAAACATGACCGTGGCTTACCTGCCCAGTGCCTCACTTTCCTCGTCAGTGAAATGGGGCTCCTCACCTCCACTGCACTGAGTTAGGGAGAGGGCTAGTTAAAGCAGATGCCGGTGAAACCGCCTAGCACGTGGCACACAGTAGGCGCTCAAGAAGGGATTGCTGAATCGGAACCCAGCACCAAGCCCAGGGAGAACACCTTCCAACGCTGGGGGGTGTGCAGGAGAGAAGCAAGGGAAAAGGCGAGCTTGCCAGCCGGCCTGGCAATAGCAGCACCGGCGGAAGGGTTGGATGTTTACATACAACCGCGGGGAGGCAGCTCGGCTCCAGGCAGAAGCCCGGCACTCCGGGAGATCCATTTTACTTGGACTGATGGCAACAAGTTGTATATTCTCTGGCTCTAAATCGTGATTCAACCAACTTCCCCAGTTCTGAAAAAACAAACCCACACCTTCCAGGCGATTCTGCCCGGGATTCGGAAGACCCGAAGAGACTTCCAACTGGAGAGACTTTTAAAGAGCCCTAAACGCATAAGCACATCCAGACACACTTTATAGGCCGGGGAGTCAGTAGACTCAGGGAGGGAGGGAGGGACCCTCGGGGCCCCAAGCGGCGCGAAGGTTCCCCGAGCAAGCAGCGGGGGCCTCCCGGAGCTGACAGCGCGGGAGGGAGGGAGGGCGGCCACCGCTAGGCGCCGCCGGGGAACGCGGCCGCCGGGGCCCCGCGCCAGCGAGGAAGTGCCTAGCCCCGCGCGCAGGGAGCTGGCTGGGCTGGGACTGGCGCCGAGGGCAGAGAGGCCGAGGGACCGCGGGGCTGGGCTCACCCATGAAGAGGCAGAAGAGGTCCAGGCAGATGAGCAGCACCCGCTTGCTGCCGCTCCTCCTAGGGTTGTTGTTGAGGGCCGGGCTGCCGCCGTTCTTGCTCTCCGGAGCGATCGCCTTGTCGTACTTGTAGTTTTGCATGGCGCTGGCTACGGCGCGAGCCTCCCGCCCCGCGAAGACGTCCCGCAACAGCAGCCGCAGACTCACACGCGGGGTAGTCTCCTGATCTCTCCGCTGCCGCCGCCGCCGAGGCTGCTCCGGAGAGTGGCGGGTCGGCCCCGGCTCGGGGCACGGCGGCGAGAATGCAGCCCCGGCTGCCTGCTTCCGAGCTGCAGAAAAGTTCTCGGGGAGTCCGGCGGTGCTCGCTGCTCCCCAGTGCGCCTCTGCGTTCCTCTCTCAACCTCAAATCGTTCAAAAGTCCAGGGGAAAGAGAGCCGAGTCGCGAGCAGAAACTTTTGCAGATCTGTGGCGCTTCGGGCGCGCTGGGTTGGCGTGTGTATGTGTGTGCGAGCGAGTGAGGGGGCAGCACGGGCGCTGGGCCACCTTCCTCCGCAGCTGGTTACTTAATGAATGAGCGCTGCGCTGAGCCCAGCAACTCGGAGCGGCTGCTCCAAACACCAAGTTTCCTGCTGCTGCCGCTGCCGCGGCGTCTGCTGCTGTGATCGCCTCCGTTTGTTTTCTGCACTTTTATTTCACGAGGTCCTTTTTAAAAAAAACAGAGAGAGGGACCTCCTTACTTGGCTCTGATGGGTTTCTGAAAGCACAGCCCCTTCCTTAAGCTGCCTAAGACGCAGGATAATTAAGGCCACATTTTACCCCACCCCCTAAAAAAAAAAAAAAAATCCTAAAAGAAATAGTTATGCTTCAACCAGAGAATCCGGGAGCCCCTAGCGTTCAGAAACGCCAAACTGTCACAAAAGATGAGGGAAAAAGAAAAGAAAAAGACACCTTTTCTTGCCAACCTTGGGTCAGGCAAAAGCTGGGGCTGTGCAGCTAAAATGCATTTCTTCTCCCTTACGAGATATTGGGCGTCACGTCTTTATTTTGACGCGGGTTTTATTGAATTGTATTATCCTGAAAACAGTTAAGGAAAAGCCTGTTTGGTTTTTTGAAGATTTAACACCCGCGTAGGACTGTGCTAGATTCTGAGGATAAGATGATGAAAAAGACTGGAGCCAGACCTCCTGTATCTGAATTCTGACTGTGGCTGTGAGACTTTGGGCAAGTTACTGTCTTTGTGCCTCAGTTTCCCCATATGTAAACTGGAGATAGTAGCAGTTTCTACCGGCTAAGTCAGTGTGAAGATTTAATGAGTTAAATCATGTAAGCGCATAGAACAGTGCCTGGTGCGTAAAACCAGTTGCTATCCACTCTACTCTGACTCATAACAACCTCGTGTGTGTGTCAGAGTAGAACTGTGCTCTGTAGAGTTTTCAATGGTTGGTTTTTCAGAAGTAGATCGCCAGGACTTTCTTGGGAGGCCCTTCTGGATGGATTCCAGCTTCTGACCTTTCCAGTAGCAGCTCAGCATGTTAATTGCACCACTCAGGGACTCCCCCAAGTGCATAGGAAGTGCTATATAAGGGTTAGCCATTATCTTTATTTCTGCTGGGAGAGTCGGGGATGAAGGATTCCCAAACCGTGCAACACTTTCAAGCATGCTGGTTCTACTCTGGTGAGTTCCAGGGCAGCAGCAGTGCTTTCTGGGGGTATCATATCTTTAGCTTGAGGCTGAAGCAATCTAATGCTTTGCCTTAGAGGCTGTCATATTAATTTAAATTATTTTATATGAGTTAATCTTGTTTTTTCCAGACATAATATAAACACTTCCAGGGCATGGGCCTTCCCTTGTATCTTCCAAGTGCCTAGCACAAATCTGAAGCACACGGTGGGCAACAGATAAACATCTCTTTCAGATGTCACTTTTTGTGCAGCCAGAAGTAGAAATAACCCTCCACCCAGCCACCATAAACCACTTGCCCTTTCTTGAATAGTCCTTTCACACCCTACACCCCTGCTCTGTGCTCCCTCTGCCTGTAAAGCTCATCCATTGCTTCCAGAGCTAGCAAAATGTTTCTCCTGCTTTGGGGTCCTCTGAAATGTCACTTCTTCTCTGAGCTCTTTCTTGATCCCTGGACAGAATTAACTTCACCCTCAATGTTTTGTTTATAACACTCTTGTACAGCTGACTAGTTTTTACTAACTATAACACCAAATCAGATTATCAGCTCCACAGACTCTCCGTAGTGCCTAGCTCAGAGGTTGGTGTTTGCTGAATTAAGTTCAAAATTGGGACAGGTGGGACAGGAAAAGAAAGGCAAAACTGCTGTCTTCTGGAAGCAAGAGTAACAATCTCCAAGGCAGTTTTGCAGCTGAGGCCTCCGGCTGCCACTTCTGCCACAGCATTCTCAATTAAGATAGCAGGTAAATGCCAGAGTCACTAAGAGAACAGACTCCTTAAATAGCTTTTCAGCGAGAAACACCTTTTCTTCAAATGTTAAAAGAGCAAAAACAATGCTAGACTGGCTTCACTATTCTTGACATCCTACAAGGAATTCAGGGATTCCAGTGTTTTGTCCTTCCCCACCCAGTTCTCTTTGTAATTATAATCATCCTTGAAATTCTGTCACTAAACCTTATCTTTGGGATTCCAATCTAACTGGGAAGTCAGTGCAAGCCTTCCTGACCACTACTGCCCACTCTGATCTTTTTCTCCTTCGAACCCCAAAAGTCCTATAGCATAGGTGCCACTTGGATGCCACTCCTGTATACCACCCTGTTTTATTATTTTACTTTTCACAAGTGGTTATAACTTGTCTCTGAAAGATTGTCAGCTCTGTGAAGGCAGAGACATGACTTTGACACCTGAAGAATTTGGGTGAAATCCAATGTCGAAGAAATAAACAGTGACAAAGTGAATTTTACTCTGTCCTAGAAGGTTGCCATGAGTGGGAATCGACTGGACAGCAGCGAGTTTTAATTGAATTTTATGGCCGCCTTCTTTTACATTTCCTGTCTGCTTTTCTTTATTTGTGAAATGACTTTTATTAATTTAAGAATAAATACATTGTTAAAAACTAGACTTTTACTGTAGTTAAATGGTACTTTAACTCAGAAATCACTGTTGGTCTCTTTAAAGATTACTGGGGAAGTTTGTTAACTTTAGCCTACACTAGATTGAATACTATTTCACTTTAATACTGTTTGTAAGGTTTTCTGGATTAGATTCAACTACTTATTAAGAAGGATAAAACTCTGTTATTCCAAAAGCAAATAAAAGGAAAAATAGATGGATGTTTAAATAAGAGTTTTATATTTCCATTTACAAGACTCTGTGGGCTATTTTTTCATAACTAAAAGATCATAGTGTTAATTGATGTGTGTGGTTCTATACAAACAAGTATTATGTTTGGATAACTCTTCAAGGGAACCAAACACTGCAGACACTCATTAAAACTGAGGTGAACAAATCATAAATATAGTGTCAATATCATTCTTTAGATAATCAGAAATAAAACAGCCTAACCAGATAAGCACTCGGCTGCTAACTAAAAGCTCGGCAGTTCGAATCCACCAGCTGATGCTTTGAAACCCTGTGGGGCAGTTAGTTCTACTCCGTCCTATAAGATCCCTATGAGTTGGAATTAACTTCACAATAGCAGGTTTGGTTTTGGTTTTACCAGCAAGTAAACATGCAACGGAATATACTTGATAGATTTAGAATAGTCTCATTTCAAAGTAATTAAGTAATTAAAATCTGGCAAACAGCTCAACAGAAATTCACACAGTAAAATGATACCCAGTTCAGTAAACTAGTCTGTATAAAAATGATAACATCACAGGGATAAATACCTTTTTAAAATTAACGTATTATGTGTGGCAACAACAGCACATCACTCTTAAATAACTGATACCTCTCAAGAGACTTAAATGGCATTCAATTCTAAGATCTCTTGTTACCACATAATTTTATTTCTGTCTCCTTTTAACTTCTAACATTTAATAATTAATCATTTTTATTTTTTGAAAAGGTGTGAATTGGCTCTGGAAATATTTAAGGGAAAAGTAGCTGAGTCCCTTTACATAAAATTGTATAATCCAAAGGTCAGAGCCCAAAATTTCCAAGTCATTTAAATTAATTTAAAAAGTCAACTTTTAGCTAAGAAGTACCCATTTATCCAGGTTCTTCAAAACCAGTTGCAGTCCACCTCTGGCTTTTACTAAGTAAAGTTGCTGGCTTGCTGCTCTAATTGTTGGACTCAATATCATGAATGTTCCCACAGGATTTGATGGAGGCCACCGCAGTAACACTCCTGAGAAAAAGGCAGGAAGGAGTAAGGGATCTGAGGTCAGAAAATCTTGGATCTACTGTTTGACCTCAGGCAAGCTGAGTAACCTCTCTGAACCTCAGTTTCCTAGACTTTAAAATGGCACTGCTATTTTTCTTCCCTATGGGGGGACTAAAACATTATAAAAGGAAATAATAAATTTGAAAATACCTAGTACAAAACAAGCAATCAGTGAATGTTCCTGTTGCGGTCGGGTTGATTTCACTCATAGCAACCCTCTAGGACAGAGTAGAACTGCCCCATAGAGTTTCCAAGGGGCACCTGGTGGATTCAAACTGCCGACCTTATGGTTAGCAGCCAAGCTGTTAACCATGTTAGCAGAGTGTTAATATTTTAACCGAACACTTTATTTCTACAATATACCTAATTTAAATATATGTATTCAAAAAGCATTTATCAAGTACCAACACTGAATATACTGTTTAATTTTATTCATCCTTCCCTAAATAACACCTTTCACCTCTCTATCCCTTTTTTTTTTTTAAATGCCCAATTTCTTGAGGTTTCTGAAGGTAGCAAATCAAACATGCTTTTTTTTTTTTTTAAGAGACAGTTTAGTTACACATTATTTTTCTCAGGACTGTTTGTGATACTTAAGAAAAAACATTTGCTTAAAATGAACTTGTACAAGTGAGAGTGCTTTCATTTTAAAAACACTTTCACATCTCTTATTTTATTCTCTCAGCTTACTGAGGTAGGTGGAGTTGCTATCATTAGTCCTATTTTACAGATGAGAAAACTGAGGCAAGCCTATTTAACCAGTTTTCCCCTTAGGTAAAATGGAAATGATTCTACATTAGCTCATACAATGTAAAGTAGAGCCCTTTACAGGGTATAAAACTATTTGCATTTATTCACTGACCTCTGATCTCATTTTGTCAGCACAATCCACGAAGCAGCTAAGTGAGAAACTATTATGTAATTTTTAGAAATAAGAACTGAATCTTGGAAGGTTAAGACATTTGTTCATGGTTGGTGGTAAGATTTCTGAATCACGTCTAGTATGCTGGTCTCTTCATTTTTAAACCAAGATTCATTTCTTTATGCCACTAGTTCTCACCATCAAAGGTGCTCAGAAATTTCTGCTTGTAAATAGTGGTTTTTTAGAGTAGTTTTTAAGGAGTCCTGGCGGCGCAATGGTTAAGCATTGGGTAGCTACCGAGAAAGGTTGGAGGTCCGAACTCACCAGTGGCTCCAAG